TTCCCTGAGCACACACGGCTCTCATGCCTCCCCTTCCAGTACTTCTTGCATGCCATGCGATAGCTGATCAGGATGGGCAGAAGGAGCTGGGAGATGGGGAAGGAGCTGATCAGGGGTCTGTCTATCAGCCCTGGAACACCCATAGAGTCGTCACCCATGCCTCACAGCAATAGTATTCTAGTGAATACAGATGTATAAAAAGCAAAGGGTAACAAACTAAGAGGTACAGATGAGGAAATATGTATCCAGATGAGCTAGGAAATATGATGCAAGCCAGTGAAAAAGATACAGGATCAAAGACCACTCTCTTCACAACAATGGAAAGATGATATGACAGGAAGGGTGAGAGAAACAGAATGAAGAGCCAAGCCCAGTTTCATGAAATAGACTGGCACATTCCCTTTTGTGCTGAAAGAAAAAGTATGTGTGAAATAAAGATGATTACAATCAACGAGGCGGGGGGAAGTATGGTGTTAGTCAAGTGTGAAAATAAGAGAAAGGCAGATGTGTCTGAGGAGAGGCTCTTCTTGCTCAAGAGAAGCACAAGATTACCTGAAAGAACCAGAGATAAAGCTGCAGGTTTGGCCAAGACACTGTTAAGGAGTTGTGAAGTATGTACACTTGAATGCCATCAAACAATAGTAGCAAGACATCAAATGTAAAGATAACTGAAAAGCATAGGTATAGTTCTACTTCTGTCTTTGGGAAGGAGACAGCTCCAATCAGGGCAACAGGACCATGCATGGAGAGCAAATTCTGTACCATCTGAGGTTTACATTGTGAAAGGCAGCAGGTAAAATGAAATATTCTTACTTCCCTGTTTGATTCAGTAAACAGGAAGGCTACGTCTAGACTGGCATGATTTTCCGGAAATGCTTTTAACGGAAAAGTTTTCCGTTAAAAGCATTTTCGGAAAAGAGCGTCTAGATTGGCACGGACACTTTTCCGCAAAAGTGCTTACAGGTTTTGGCCATCTTGACCCAGTGAAGGCAGGTCTTGAACCCGCAACCCTGTCCTCCCCTGTGTGGCAAAGTGCTCAAAACTCAGAGCACCTTAGAGCCCCAGATTGGAGACCTTACAAACAGGTCACAAACCAGTTACACCGACCACTTCAGCTGCCAATCTGGCCAGCCAGAAGCCTCACTAGCAAAACCCCTCTGACACTCCAGCTCTTCCAGTGCCCTAATCAGCCCCGGGCCTAACACACAGGTGAGGGGTTTTAGAACCCAATCTTATCTACCCTGAACAGGTTCTTCTGGTCCCAAGAAACCAGCCACAGTTCCCAGATCAATTTACACTCTGGGTCTTACCCACAAGATTACGCGGAGCCAATCCTTTAGAATCTAAAATCTAAAGGTTTATTAAAAAAAGAAAGAAAAGCATGAGAGTAAGGTTGTTAAAGAAAATACATTACATGCATCGAATCACCCAGTTCTCAATACAGGCTCTTAGCAGAGGTGTTATAAACTGCTATCTTAAAAGTCTCTGGTGTACATCCTATGTCAGGACAGGTCCACAGTTCTTCTTGGCTTGTTGTTCCCTGCAAGGCTGCATCTGGGATCAGGAGCTGAACTCAAGACCAGATGGAGGGTGCCACAAGGCATTTCTATACTGCCCCGGCATCTTCCTGGCCAGAGAAGGTCACATGGTCCAACGACCTATCCCTGTGTCCCATGCTGGCAGCCCTTCGGCCCTGGCTGGTTTACAGATATCAGTCACATTCCTGAGGTGTGTATTGGCACCTAGAGTTTCATTGTCTCCTTGCTAGTTAGCATAGCCATTGGCTAAGCATTCCTTCCCCATTGCTCAGCCACAGGCAGAGAATTTTCCAGCATTCCTACAGAGTACATGTTTATAACTCCATATACAGATATAATACAAGTACACGGATAGCATATACAGAATCAGTAGAACATACGCTCTCATTTGACATCTCACATGGCCCCTTTGTACCAACTTTTGGGGCAAACACCCCCCTTGGGTGCAGCAGTGACCTGTCTGGAACGTGACACCCCCTATGCTTCCCCAAATTACACTGTGAAAGACACTAGATAAAACTAGAAAAGATTCTTACTTCCCTGTTTGATTCAGTAAGCACCAAAGGGGAAGAGTCTTCATTCTGAAGAGAGCCACAAAATAAAGAGGGGGATTCAATTAGGTGGGAAGAAGAAAATCGTGTACCTACTCATCTGGAGGAGAGAGAGTGGGTCACACTGGTGAGAGATGCACTGAGGTCAAGAATGAAAAAGAGAAAAAAAAATCTTCCGTTAGCAGAAAAACTGTTAACTATGCAGTGGACAATGATTCCTTTGTTATCTCCAGGCACGATTTACAGTCAAGAGTATTGTTGTGTGAGCTAGTTGTTAAGAAAAAAGGGAAGATTAAAGATACGGCATTAGTTAGGCTGAAATTAATGTATTTAAAGAAGGTGCAAACAATATTTTGTTTTTAGAGAAATGGAGAAGGTGCAGGAGGGCAATGGAATTATTAACATTAGGAATAGTGTGAGGAGCAATGGTGGAAGAATAGGACCAAACTAAAAGAAAAAAACTAGCAATAATAAAAATTATAATGCTGTAATAACAATTATAATGATGGATTGGGGAAAGAATGGAGTAAGGGAAGAGAAGAGCATCACTAATGGGGCATGCAGTGTTGTTGTAGCGGTGTTGGTCCTAGGATATTAGCAAGACAAGATGGGTGAGGTAATTTTTTATTGGGGCAACTTCTGTTCCTTTTATACCCTTACAAAACAATTTATTTTCCCAACACTACTGCTAAGCAATCCAATAATCCTGTTTCAATACATGAAATAGGATTAATACTCAAAGGCCAGAGCAACAAATCAATGTACATAGCTTACTTTTCCAGTTGCAGTAAGTTCAGGCTTAATTTTTCGTAAGAACTGTGTCAACCAAGACCCGTGTGAGACAGACAAGCTTTTGAGCATACCGAGAGCTCCTCTGCATAAGCTTGAAAGCTTGTCTCTCACCAACAGAATCTCATACAATAAAAGATGTTATCTCACCTACCTTGTCTCACTAATGGGGCATTCAGTGTGAAAGAAGAAAGCAAAAATTTGCACCAAAAATTGGAACCAAAAAACTTCCTTTAATTTGAGGAAGTATGTGAAGAAGCATTGTGTCATGAAACATGGAGGTAATGGTATATTAAATTGTACAATAGCCTCCCCAGGGAAACAGTGCACTAGAGGACGGAACACTAGAGAACATATTGTAGGAAACAATCCCTAATCTGTCAAGGCTGAACTAGATCAGTGGCTCCCAAACTTTATTGGTTCATGTACTTCCTTAAGAAGTTGTTGTGAACTAAATGACCAAACAGGGCATTTCCACCTTAATATTTTGGCCCCATTCAGCCCCTGTGTAAATAGGATCTCTATCTCTAGATGCTATCTCTGTAACAGGATTGTGACTCTGAAGCCTAGAATGTCTGTTGAGTCGGTGTGAAGCAAAGGAACTAGCGACAAGCATGGTTGAGAGCTCTTCTTCAGAATGTCACCAGGTTCAGCCAGCACTGAGAACCAGGAGGAATGTTGGAATTAAAAGTTTCCATGGCAGCCCAAATGTGACAGCTGATCAGAGAAGTGGAAGTAACAGCTACTTGGGATAACAAGGTGGAGCAGCTGTGGGTACAAACATGTACAAACTGCACCATTGCAGCACAGCTTATGAAATAAGGGCCCCTATTTTCAGCTTTTTACACACTTGACTTTACGAATTATACCTATGCAATAATATAGACTTTCAGCTACTAGTATTAAATATAGTTACAGCAGGCCTAAATTTGGCCTGTGATTCTGTGAGCGGGAGTCGTTATCTGGAACACCCGTCCCGCTCCAGACTCCTGTATAGCATTCCCACTCTACCTCAAAATGCAATGTACCCATCCTATGATAGGATCAAAATGTACCCCCTTCCTGGGTTCAAAATAATAACACAAAATGTTAATTGTAGGCTTGGTTGCTTCCTAGGATCCTTGCATATGGACTGTTCAACCTAGATAGTTTGTGAGGAATTACTCTCTTGACCGCTAAACCCTTTGTTCTGGACAGGCCAGCACAAAGGAGCTGGAAAGTATGCATAAGCACACCAGCTTCACAACAGGGCCCGATGTAGTGCATATTCCAGGGAGTGGCCTGTGTGTGCATTTTTAAGACCAGCAATTCAGTGCTACTGCAATAGCCCACAGGGACTATTGCAGCAGGAGCCTAAATTAGGACAGCCCTATGGGATAAGCCATGCTCATCAGAGCCAAACAAGCCCCTGGCAGCTCCAGAATAGAGGAGACACAAGCCATCTCTCTACTGTCCCTGTACCAGGCTTTTCTCCTGTATGGTGATGAATCAGGAGTTCCTTTTTTTCTAGAGAGTGACACTCATAGTTTACACTTCCATTATGTTCAGGGTGGAGCTAATAGGTCATCTGCAGCCGGAGTTGCTTAGTGTCTGTTACCAAGCAAAATACCTGCTAATTGGGGAAGGGTTTATAAGAGAACACTACCAGCCTATTACAATTCTCCTGCAGCATGAATAACCTGCTTCCTCCAAACAAAACACACTTGGATTTTGGGAGATTTATAATCTTGAGAGAGGATGTTTTCATATCCAGACCTCTCTCCCCTTTTATTCCAGTTTTATTCTTCACAATGAAATATGCCTGAGGACCAAAATAAGTTTGGGAAACTTTAATTCTCCGTGCTAGAAAGGACACAGAGCCGACCTGTGAATTTCAGAATAAATGGCAACCCTGTCTTGATGTTTAGGGTGCCTCTTGGCCATGGACATTGCAGACACCTAAAGCCAGCACTGCACATGCAATAGCAACACTCATTTCACCACTTAGACAATTGTCTTATTGATTTTTCTTAGATGTTTTGACTGTAGTGACTGATACTGGTAAAATTGTAAATGCAGATAAGAAAAAGCTCTTTTTGGAATTTGGTGGGAACAGGATTGAGGGGAGCTGAAATCAGATTGTAAGCCATGGTTGGTCATGTCCTTTGGTCATGCAGGTGACTCAGCAGTGGGGAAGACTGCCCTGACCCAGATGTTTTGCAGTGATGGAGCTCATTTCCAGAAAAACTACACACTGGTAAGCTTTGTATGATGAGGACATGTACTGAGGGAGGACAGCAGGCTTGCTTTGCTATTGGGTGACCTCTCTAAAAATCCATGAGTGAGGAACAGGAAATTTTAGGACCGGCTGAATTATTGAGGTTGGTTTTAGCTATAGACTGGCCTTTACACTGATGCATTAAAGTTTTATAGGGTTTTCTGTCAAAATACTTATATATACCGGGTAGTAAAAATAAACTGACTAGCATCACAGTAGGTTTCCATGTATATAGGGAGTTGACTTCAAAGCTTAACAGAGTAAATTAATTGTGACCGTTTCCTTCTATATCAGAATCTTCACGAGCTTGTGTGGCCCTAGACAATTTTCCATTTTCATGGAGCTCAAAGTGAAAAGGGTTTTCTACAGGAGGAAACTGTTTACTCCAAACTAGGGATGTTAAATATCGGTTAATTGAATAGTTGATTAACCTCATGGATTCTTATTGGTTAGTCGACTATTCTATAGTCCCGGGGCAGCACCTATCCGGGAGGAGGGGTCTGAGCTCCCGAACCTGGCACAATCTGGTACTTGAGCCTGGCTGCCTGCCCACTTGGCTCCTAATACACTTTAAATGCAGAGCCACAGTGGGGGAAGGTCCAGGACCCAGTGCAAGCTGGGACTGAGATGGGCTGCTGACTAACCTGCTAAAAAATGTATTGGCAACAGGTGGGGGGGAAATGCAGGTAGTCTATAGCATTAATCTTTAAGCTTTTGCTGATCAGTTAATAGGTTAATCAACTATACTATTACATCCCTACTCCAAACAGAATATCTGAGTGTAGAATGTATGTTCTTCACTGTACAAACATGAAGATATGCTCTATGGCCCCAAGCTATTGAAATCTAAAAAAAACATTCTAAGTGGAAGAGGATGCAGTCTGCATCCCTTCCATGTGAAAAACATTAATGATGAAGGATGTACAGAAGCAGGATGAAAAATAAGTCCTGTCATACGTATTATACATTCAAATAAAGACCAAAAGGAAAACTAAAGAAGAGAAATAGACACACAAGAGGGGCTGGGTGGGGGTGGGGGAGAGAAAGTAAAATAAAACGTGGAAGAGGCACAAAAAAAGGACGTTAGAATTCCATGTGCCAGCTGTAGCATAGCACCTATGAAAGATCACATGGTCAGTACAGAAGATTCAGGGAGACGTTTCGGAGCAACCAAGCAGTGAGTCTTGACCCAGCTCTAGATCCAAAGTTGTCAACTAATGTCCTGGTATGTGAGCAAATCTCTAGAGACTAGTTCTTTTCCATTGCCTGTCCCCACATGAGCAAGTCTCTAGGAGTTGAGAGTATTTTTTACTTTAAGAAAATTTAGAGAGACAAGGTCAGTATTTTTGACCTTAAGAAAATGTATAGAGACAGGGTCCTGAAGAAAAGCTCTGTATAAGCTCGAAAGCTTTCTCTCACCGACAGCAATTGGTCCCATAGAAGATATTTCCTCACCCACTCTCTGTTTAATATTCTAGGACTAACATGGTTTCCGCACCACCACATACAATATGTAAAAAAGTTTGTCAGTAGGACTTTAAAAATTGTTACTTTGAAGATGGTTCTCCACAATCTCAGATTGGTAGGATTCTGGTGATCTAAGAGGATTACTTCACTCCAGAATATTGTGTGTAATGGACACAATAACAAGCCCTGCTGATTAATGTTTTCTTGATTTTGCTTGACAGACGACAGGCGTGGAACTGTTGGTGAAGACTGTATCTGTTCCAGAGACAAGTGATAGCGTGGTGAGTCCTTCTATATCACAAATAGAAGCAGAAGGAGCTCTTCAGTGCACAAAGTCCAATCATTATGTGTCTGTCTGATATGTCTCATTGCCTTGGATGGATTCACCAGAAGTTTACTTGATTAACTTGCATCAGGAAACCTGATCATGCTCATGCTCTATGACAGTGGTCCCCAACGTGATGCCCGCAGACACCATGGCACCTGCCGGGGCATTTATGTGCGCCCACCAAGTGACCAGGGCCGGCCCAAGCCATTCTTGCACCCCGGGCACGCAGCGCATGTGCAGCGCTGCGCCCGGCAGCCCCAAAAGGTTGGGGACCACTGCTCTAAGATAATACAAATAATAAAAGTAATTATGTACAATAGCTGATTTTCCAGTGATAATTTGTTTTTAAAAACGAGTACTCCTGTGGCACTTTAGAGACTAACAGACATATATAGGATCATATTTTAAAAACATACATGTTTACATATTCAGCTGCACCAGCTCTTAAACTGAAGCTCTTACCAATCTAGATAGGCTCCTGTAGTATACTCAGATATCCTTCCCTAGGACAATGAAGATTGGGTGCTGTGCAGAATCCTATGTGTTAATGCTCTGCACTACCATTAAGCTATAAATATACTCAGATTAGCATCCCAGTCTCTTGTTCCACTAATCTAATTGGTGCTTGGAGCAGAGATTGTTCCTGGTGCACTGCGGGGTAGATCTTTTCACTGTTTCTGTAGGAAATCCAGCTACTGCTTTGCACTTGCCCTCTGGGCTAAGTGCATTTTGGAGACTGTGAGCTCAGCCAAGAAAGCATGAGGCTACTTTGATGTGGTTGAACAAGAAGCAAGTGTGACAGCTTCAAATGTGCACCTCTCAAGCCACATAGAATCATAGAAATACAGGGCTGGAAGGGACCTTAGGAGGTTATCAAGTTCAGTCCCCTGTGCTGTGGCAGGACCACATTAATCTAGACTATTCTTGACAGGCATTTGTCCAGCCTATTCTTAAAAACTCCAATGATGAGGATCTTACAACCCTTGTAGTTAGAAAGTTTTTCCTAATATTTAACCTAAATCTCCCTTACAGCTAATTAAGGCCATTACTTCTCATCCTACGTTCAATGAACATGGAGAACAATTGATTGCCATCCTCTTTCTAGCTGTCTTTAACATATTTGAAGACAGTTATTAGGTCCCCCCTTAGTCTTCTTTTCTCAAGACTAAACATGCCCAGTTTTTTTAATCTTTCCTTGTAATCAGGTTTTTTAAACCTGTGATCATCTTTGTTGCTCTTCTCTGGATGCAGTACTCCAGCTGAGGCCTCACAGTGCCAAGTAAAGTGCGACAATTATTGCCTGTGTCTTAGGGACAGCACTCCTGTTAATGCAACCTAGAGTGGTATTAGCATTTTTTGGAAATGAATCACACTACTGGCTCATTCTGTTTGTGATCCACTATAAGTCCTAGATCCTCTTTGCATGGTCTTCCACACAAACCTCCTTTCTGCTTTCAGGAGCTCTTCATTTTTGACTCAGCGGGCAAAGAACTATTTTCTGAGATGATGGAGAAACTGGCAAGTATCATGTAATAGTCTTCTGGTTCCTAAAAGTGCCTTTGCTGTAAAAAGGATCTGAACTACCCAGTCTGGCAGATGCAGCAAGCCTTGGTCTGAGTGGGAGGAGGAGAAATAGGTCTCAGTTGCCTCTGACCCCTGTTCTGAAACTTAGAACAGTAATCTAGAGAATCTTTTCTAGGGAAGGAAGGTAGGATCCCAAAGGAAGTTCCTTTGGTTTTTACAAAGAAATGGGAATACTAAACTGAGATAGCTATGCAGATGTCTTGGGGGAGGAGGGGGTATTCAAGCTTTTAGAAGAACTTCCATTTCACCAATTGTAATGTAACAGATTTTTGCCTTCATACTGATCTTTCTGTTCCCCAGAGACTCCACCTTAAAATGAGACATAGAGTTATTCTTGACTTCTCCCACTCCAGCAAGTGTGTCCCGGTCCCTATACATTAGGGGCCTTTCCATTGTATGATCTAATTTTGAAGCCTGGGGTCAATTAATTAAGTGTGAGGTCCCATTATATCAGACTCGTTTTATTTCTGCCCTGGAATGTATATCCCATACAGACACTTTTCTGGGGATGTATTGGCCATTGACCACATTAATTTCATTAGCTAACAGTATCTCTCTCTTGATGTACAGTGGGAGCAGCCCAATGCCTTATGTATTATATATGATGTCACCAATGAACAGTCTTTCAGCAACTGTGCCAAATGGCTGGAAAGGCTGAGGGCACGGACCCTTGGAATGCACCTTCCAGGTAGGAGATGGTGAGATTCTTTGCATTGATTCTTATGTTGTGGCAGCATCTCTTCTCGTTGAGATGTGGCGTAAAGCATTATTTTAAATCCAAGCCAGGCATGGCTTCCTCCAATTCAACCAGTCTGAGAGTAGGATAGACCAGAGAAGTGCATATTCTAGGTGATTCCCTTACTGTCTTTACTAGTACCTTATCTAATGAGCCGTAGCCTAGCAATCCAGTTTTTTTCCTCCCATTTTCTAACTCCCCCACCAGTGCTATCAATTCAGTTTTTCTTTTTTCTTTTCCTTTGTTTCACATTTTCTGTAGGTGTTTTAGTGGGGAATAAAACAGACTTGATTGGTCGACGAGCTGTGGAGCAGAAACGGGCAGAGGAGTGGGCTGAGATCCAGGGCCTGCAATACTGTGAGACATCAGTGGTGAGTCTTTCTCCATCTGTGGAAGTGGGTGTCTTCTCTTTTGGGGGCTCTGTTACATTTCTTTATCATTTAATCGACTCCCAGTATAAATGTGGGTGTTTTTATTGAGCAGTTAGAAGCTGAAATAATTTAATGCTTCCTCCCATCCATCTTTCATAACCTCTCTTCTCTCTTTACAGAAGGAGATGGAGAACGTCGAAGTTCCTTTCCACATCCTGGCAAACTCATTCCATCAACTATACAGAGAGAAGGTGGAAACCTTTCACTCACTAGTATGAGGGCCTTGGTATAGAAATTTGCTTAATACCTGGGGGATTTCTTTGAGTTCAGAAACACCCGGACGGACAGTATCCCACAGAGTAGAAGATGGAGAGAGAGTGAAAGAAGAGATTTTTCATTTATACTTGTGACCATTTCCTGACAATTGAGATTAAACCAGAAATAAATATGTGGAAAGGTGTCCTTTCTGAGGTTGAGAGCTGGTGTTCTTTTCATGTCCCATGGAAATTTGTTGGGTGGGTGTGGGGTGCTTTAGAATGGAAATTGGCAGCCTTCTGCTTTTAGATTTCCCTGTCTTTTGTCAGAATGGCTTTCCTGCTGCTGGAGACAACAGTTAGATGATTTGGTGGGTTTTTGAGATGGCTAAGAATAGGGAGGCTAAAGGGGCATTTCTCGCATCAGAGAGCCCATATCTAAAGAGGGCAGGCCTGAGGACGGCCTTGCACCTGGAAAGTGCATTCACTAGCACGGCTGGAATAGACTTTAGGCTCAAAGTCTGTTGAGATGTGCCCATCATCTGTGGCATGAGCTGTGACATATGCAGGGATTCCTCTTGACTCAGGTGTGGTTTAAGACCGCAGTCTCCAACCTTTTTAAGCACAAGATCACTTTTTGAATGTAAGTGCAATCCAGGATCTACCTCAGACTCAAATATCCTTGTCCTACCTCCTTTGTGTCACTTCTCCAAGGTCCTGCTCACTCCATCCTCCCTTCCTCCCCAATCCTCCCTCTCTTTTACCAGGCAGAGGCAGAGGGTTGGAGTGCAGGCTCTGATCTTGGGCTAAGGGATTTGTAGTGTGAGAGGGGCTCTGAGCTGAGCCTGGGGCAGGGGGTTGGGATGTAGGAGGGGGTACAGCTTCTGTAAAGGAGTTTGGGTCCAGGGGGGTTCATGACTGGGGCAGGGGTTCGGAGCTGGCTCCAGCTAGACACTGCTATCCTCAGGTGGCTACTGGGTGGTGGTGGGGCTAAGGCAGGTTCACCTCTGCCCTGGCCCTGCACTGCTCCCAAAATCAGACTGCAAACTCCCTGCATCCCAAACCTTGTTGTGCCCCCATCCCATTGAGTGGAGACAGAATAAAGGGTGGGAGGGGGCACCCTGACATCAGTGCCCCCTCCTTTCCCTTCCCTTCTCTGCATAGCAAGCAGGGGCTTCCAGTTGGGAAGAGGGAGGCAGCTCCAAGGCAAAGGGCAGGAGATGTACAGCAGTGCAGGGAGAGGCAGCTGAAGTGCTGTGCTTGACAATTTCTTGGCCAAACCAGACAAGATCACCTGTCAGAGGCTCCCGATATACTGGTTGGTGACCCCGGTTTAAAATGTGTCTATAGATTAGGGTCTAGTTTGTGTGATGCTCCCAGGTTCATCTGCTTGGAGCCCACTGCACTGCTGATGTAGTCTGTGACCCTAATCTGTGTTTCCGACTTTTCAGAGTATAGTTCTTACTGTGACTTGTCTCATTTTCTCTTCATGTTAGAAGGTGTCTGGCTGCAAGGAGCTTCTCGTCTGTATTTCTCATAACTTGGTAATGCAGTGCCCTCTACTGGTCCCAGGCCACAAATTTGCCCAAAAAGAGCCACTGTGTTGCAGTGAACAAGAATTGTTTTCTTTTCTTCTTCCTTTCTCCACCTCCCAGATACACAGCCTTTATCTTAAAGAGCGTTCCCTAGGCTTCCAAATAGATAATTGCTCCTTCTCTCCCTCCACTTATCCTTCCCTCCCTCACAGCTTGCCTTGGTTTGGTTGTGTGTGTGTTTTGGGGACAGGGAGTATTCCTAATGAAAGTCAGTAGCATTACCACCTTTCTAGGTCCAATTATCCAGTTTCTTGGTCAAATAAGAACCTTGTTTTGTTCTGTTTACACCATACATTCTCACATTTCCTAGCATCACTTCGTTCTGGTTTCAGTTATGCAAACAGGACACAAGGGGGAAAAAAAGGCCGGCTGGCTTTAAACTATTGTGAATCTGCAGAGGGACTTGCTCAGATTTGAGATTTGGTGTAGGGAGGGATAACGTCTCTTCATAGAATTCTTGTCTATAATATAATACTGGTGTAGCATGGGTGAGAACCCTTTCAAATCTCCAGTGCAAGGAGATGCATTGCAGTTAGGAAAAATGTCTGTGCAATTCAAGTTAGGATGTAGCACTTTTATTCCAGAAGAGGGTCAAATGCAGAAACTCTCATCTGTTTCCAAGGTCACAACATCTTCCCTTGACTAAGAGGAAGGGCTGATTTATCTGGGGTTTTGCACAGTCATTTCTCTGAGATAAGCTTTCCAGGAATCTTAGTGGGTTGGATGTAATGCATCTAAGTAGGAGATGTGAAGGCAGGAGCCAGCCGCCTCCAGCTGCTATGAATAAGATATAATTATTTTTAATACTGTGCAGAGTTAATCAAAGAACTTTAGAACTTGATTTGATTTGATGGCCGCCTCCTACAGTTTTACTAGAAATGTGCTTATGTTACATGATGGATCTTTTCATATTTGAAATATCTTGCCACGTGTGTCTTTGCCACGTGTGCCATGATCTATGGAGGATTAATATCATGGGCGTGAGAGATAAGGGGAAACTCATGATTTTTATTGAGGAAAGTCTATCTGCCCCAGAAAAAAATAGCCATGGCTCTTCATGACTGAAGAATAACTGTATGTAAGCTCAGAAGTTTCTCTCTTCCCAACAGCAGTTGGTCCAATAAAAGATATTACCTCACCCACCTTGTCTTTCTATCCTGGGACCAACATAGCTACAACAACACTGCCAATAGCTCTTAATAAACAGTCAGTAAAATGGAGATGGGTGACTGCTTTTCACTGAATGAAAGCAAAAACTAGAGAATCTAATTAGAAGAATGCTTAGAGTGCCAATTGGTGATTTATAAGGTAGCTGCTTCTTATGGGTTAGTGAAGAAAAATGCATCCCATTCAGGGAAAGATGTATTGCCTGGGAGTAAAAATGTGTAATCTAACTAGCTAGCTGTAGGGATTCATCTGCTGCCCCTTTACCTCTTTGTGTGGGCCATGTAAGAAAACAGATTGTGTTTAAAACATGTTGGTTAACCTGTTTCAATACACATTTTGAGCACTAATGTAGACATGATTTAATGTCTTTTAAAATGTTAGTTGGTCATGATCTTCCAAAGGGAGGCACTTCAGTTTGACTATGTTCAGCTAATGCATTTCAAAGGCATGATATGCCATCTGTGTTACTACAGGTTGAACCTCTCTCGTCCTGGACTCTCTGGTCTGGCTACATCCCTAGTCCAGCAGGACCACAGATGTTGCTGGACCAGAGAGCCCCAGAAGTTGAGAGTGGCTGGGAGCTGAGCCGGTCTGGTCAGTGGCTGTCTGCAGGGTCAGTGACCCAGGGTAGATAGCCCCAAGAGCAGCTGCCACTGTGCCCACAGGAACAGGGAACCCCGGGAGCAGCTGCCGCCGTGCAGGGGATGGGGACAGGGAACCGTGGGAGCAGCTGCCACCACACGTGCAAGGACAGGGAACTCCAGAAATAGCTGCTCCACGCGCACACAGGGCTGGGGCCAGGGAACCATGAGAGCAGAGTCAGGCAGGTGAACCAGAGGAGGCCAGGCCTCTGGGTGCTCCTGGAACAGCAGCCAAGAGGGGAGCCCTGGGAGACCCCAGATGCCTAACCTTCCCTGGTCTGGCAAATTCCCTTGTTTGGGACCCATTCCAGGCCTAAGGGTACCAGACAAGTGAGGTTCAGCCTGTTTTTTAGGGGGGAGGGCTAGCTCAGTGGTTTGAGCATTAGCCTGCTAAACCCAGGGTTGTGAGTTCAATCTTTGAGGGGGCCATTTAGGGATCTGGGGTAAATCTGTCAGGGATGGTACTTGGTCCTGCTGTGAGGTCATGGAACTGGACTTGGTGACCATCCCTTCCAGCTCTATGAGATAGGTATATCTCCATATATTATTTTAAAACATGTCACCTGACATATTTTGAAATGATACCTGTTTTCCTACTGTTGATATGGCGCAGTTGGCAAGGGTGGGAGTGGTGTGTAGAAGGGTTGCCTGAAAGCTAGGTAGTTTGAGGGTTTGTTGTGGCAGGGAGGCTATGGATGCTCAGTATTTCTACATAAGGGGGCTTGGAATAGCTCGAGGGGCAAAAGGAGTCTGAAGCAGCTGGGGGCATGGCATAAGTGAGGGAAGTGTCTGGGACCCATATTGGGTTTCCCATACCTTTTTGTGATCATGTTCAAACCTACATTCCTCCCTTTGGAGGATTGACCTGCCATCATCTCTTCCTCATGGGTTTTATTCTGTGCTGTTGCATCCAGGGAGAGAGCAGTGAGCCTAGCAGCAGAGAGGGTACATCTACACAGCAGCGTTATTTTGGAATAACTGACATTGTTTTGAAATAACAGTGCACGTCTACACAGCAAGCTGTTATTCTGAAATAATGTTGAGCTGGAGGACTTCTTACTCCAACTCCTGTAAACTTCATTTCACGAGGAGTAAGAGAAGTCAAAGGAAGTGCTCTTCCTTTGACTTCCTGCTGCGTAGACAGCGCCAAAAGCCAAATTAAGCTATTTCGACTTCACTTATGCAATTGACATAGCTGAAGTTACGTATCTTAGTTTGACTTTTGCCCTGCAGTGTAGACATGCCTTAAATTCCCAGGATGTGCTTTTAAAACCTAAAACCAACCCAGGCAAACCAGGACAGTTAGAAGTTGCTTGGGATAAAAATCAAATAGTCTTGAACTTACCAAGTTCCTCTTTAACAAGACACAATCTTTCACTTTCCTTTTTTCCTGTTTGCTTGCGTGGATGAACAAAGTCTCCTTTTTCTTCTCTGAGTTCCCCTCTCAGCTTTCCAGAAGCTCAGTTTTATAACCCTGTTTCACTAAGCCCCTCGTTAGTTCTTTCGCTGCTCACCTTAGTATGAAATATCACAAGTTGCTTTTGTTATCTGTCTTTGTCATTTCTCCAAAAACTGTCCCAGAATGCCAAGTAGCATTTCTTCTCAGTAAGGTTAATGAAGGAAAAACAAATCTGGAGGTTTTTAGACCAAACCATTTTGGAGAGATGAACCAAAAATTGTTACACACATTTTCAAAAGTGAGTGTCCAGTAGCTTTTAAATTGTAATGTTAAAACTCCCAATTTTTTTCTCCAAACTTCCCAGAAACATTCTACCCTGGAATAAGCTGCAGCATGTAAAATTTCAGGAAGATCAGTTTC